TCAACGCCCTCAAAGTCAGTGACGGTAAAGGTTAGATGGAATATCGCACCTGTCTTGACAATAATACTCAATCTTCAAAGCCGTCGCAAATTCAGATGGATAAAGCAGTTGAGTCCGACTGTCTTCTAGAGGCAGTGCTCCCTCCAGTCATCTGATGATGCTGTCGAGTTAGATACCTACTAGAAGATGATTCAGCATGAGACCGAGTCGGCTTCAATTTATGGGCGTCTTTCATCTTACATCGGCACTAAATCAGCACTGAATGCATGCAAATTCAGATTTTACTCTCGTCGATGGTGGATGAATACAACCGAACTGGGAACGACGGCCAGCATCACAGAGACACACGTCGCCACGTAGCAATGTCTTTCGTAAACCTTTCCTCCCTGTCCGGTTCCTTGGTGCTCATATTCCGATGTAGGAGCCTTTGAAGTTGCTCTCTATTCGCGCACCATGTGATTCTCACGAGCGATGAATGTAACCCAAGAGAGTGATCCTAGCACACCCACCAGCCAAACCTTACGGGACCGTTTCACTGGAACAAAAGGAATTCAAGTGCATCTTCTTCATTCCAGTTCCTATCGTTTTAAGTAACATGATACAGTTTTCCGTCCATATTGTAATACACTAAAATGGACATATAATGTCTACGCGATTGTGATCTTCTTAGGCGCCGTCTCTGGAGACGCCTTGGGGAACGTCACCGTTAACAGGCCATTATCAAGAGAGGCTTTGATCTCTTCCTCCTGCAGATACATCAGTATCTCATTCTCCTCAAAAAAAAAAACCTCTTACGTTGACTCCCTGAGGAAGCCTCAATGTCCTAGAGAACTTGCCGAACCTGCGCTCTTGAACAGCATAACCATTCTCCTCGTGTTCCGACGAGATTTTAGTCTCCCCGGACACAGTAAGGCGGCCGTCGTGTACGTCGATCTCCACGTCTTCCTTCTTGAGACCTGGGAGCTCGAATGTCGCGGTGACGGTGTTCTTGGCTGCGTCTTCGTGGAGATCCATTCTGTAAGGAAACATATGTTAAAACCTGTCATCTCCGAGTGAATGACAAAGTACATACCTTGGCTTTAATGTCTTTGTCGCGCCGTTGTCAGAGTCCTGGGCAGTCTGTAACTGTTGGCTGGTGGGACGAGTGATCGCATCAAGGAGACGGTCGAAGTTGTAGAAAGGCTCGTAGTAGTAGACAGACATTATCGTTTGGATGATGGGACGGTGTCGACGTGTGACGGTCTTTTATACTCTTTTGAACCTTACTCGAAGTTTCTTTTGCAGGTGACGACCCCACCGAAATACAGCTCGAAGAAAGTTCTCGAACTTTCCGAACGGGTGGCTCGGACTCAAAATATAGTCCCATTCTCTACATTACTAAGAGACGGAAAGATGGTCCAGATATGGAACAGAGCCTCCATGAAACGCATCACGGAAATCAAATGGACTTTCAAGACAGAATCCAAAGGCAAGTGCTCTGACTCCAGTGGTCTCTTTTTGAAAGTCATCGGAATTTGCCGAACTTCCTTCTCTGGACCATGACTCAACAGGCGCATATACTCGAGTAGCAGGCACTCAAACCTACCGTGCCTATAATTTATTGACAGAACAACGATGGCGAGATGCCAAGATCGCCGCTTCTCAGCGTCTTCCCTGGCGCACTGCCGTTTCAAAGGTGACCGGTATGACTATATGGCATTGATACAATTCCAGAATTGTAAAAAAAAATTGCCTAGCATCAAAACGTTGAAATATACTCATCCACGGCATAGTGTCTCATAGACAGAAGCTACCCGCGGCAAAGAAGTAAACTAGGCAGCTTGCGTCTTTAGTATCTAGTAAGCCTTGAGCTCGATATCGCTTTGTGTCACCGAGAAGTTGGACGTGAATTTTTGCAAAGGAAGGACTGGTGCGTACCTTTCTGATCGCTTTCTCGCTAGCTGTAGGAACATTTAAGACTACCGTTGAGCTATTCGATGAAGGCTATTAGTACGTTTGTGATATCTCATATGCCCTTTTTCATTCCCAGTATTCCTGGCAGGCTTACACTGGACCTTCGTGTCATCGCTACACCTTTACAAAACTTACTGGATTCTACCACTCACTTCCTAATCTTTGCTTCGGACGTCAACTAAAACATACTCCTTACCTTTTTGACAGGTACGCTGTTCGTTGCACATGTAGCAGTGTCCTTCCCCAATCCGCTTCTGAAATTTCCCCACTATCCAAAGAGGCAGAAAAGTGGTTCAATGCTCCCAGCCTTATCGCGTCGATAGAACTTGGTGGTACAGGCCGTCCAATAGCGTCCCCCCCCCCCCAACTACACACTTACGAATGAAGATAACGCTTCCGGGCAGAGTGGCATTGCATTGATACGTCCTGTCAGCACCTGATGAATGGAGCCAGTCACGAAGATCCCTGGTCTGTGCCATCATGCCACGAGTAATCTGGCTGGCTCACGGAGGAAACGTATTAAGATCTGTCGGTTTGGTTGCAGCTATTAACGTCGACAGTTCAACCAGCTCCGGCCATCTACGAATGTTTCAAGAATGAAGGTGATGACGATCGTGCCACTATGTTCACCTCCTTATCCAAGGCACTATTGCTCATTCCTGGTCGAATGCCGTCTAATCTATCCCCGCGTCTATTGTAGGAGCCTTGGCACAAATGTCTGTACCACTTTCATCGTTAACCCCTGGAGGCAAGTCATAGGAGACGAGAATACGATGAGAAAAAAAATGACCCGGCGTACGTGGTGATAATCTTGTTAACGAGAATGATTCGGATGCCCATATACAAGGGATGGTGCATGGTAAAAGATGTAGCGGGAGAGGCTAGAGCAAACCATATCACGGTTATCTCGGTGACCAGCCATTTCTGCCGGGGACAATGGCAATATCGGTGTAGCTTCGACGATCGACTGATTGAGTAAGTTAGCTCTTCCTTGCCTTGATCTACGCCTAATTCACTGAACAGAACACATATTTTAAGATCCTGCGTGCTATGTACATTTTTTATTCTAATGTTGCACCAAGTTCTTCGTGGTTTTCTTCAACACCGTCTCCGGTGTCGCTGGGAACGTCAACCTCAATAGTCCATTTTTGAGAGAAATGTTGACGTCCTTTCTCTACAAATGACTTCAACGATCTTGCTCATGTTAGGAGAGATGTTTTGGCGCGCTTACCTTGGTTCCGGGAGGAGTCCTCAAACACCTGCAGAACACGCCGATGTTGCGCTCACCAACACTGTAGCCGGCCTCCTCCACGTCCGGAGTTTCTCCCCAGACCATGATCTCTCCGTCATCCCAAGTAGTGTGTATGTCTTCTTTCCTGAGACCGGGTAGTTCGAGGATAGCGCTGACGGTGTTCGTAGCTCTATCTTCGGAGACGTCCATGCTGTATAGATTAAGCTGCAGTGGGTACGCTATGAAGGCACGAACTGGACAACGTACAAGGTGAGGAAAGTTTTTGCCAAAACCAGCTGCGAGAGAATAGGATTGGGATCAACGGTGTAACCTGGTGCAGAACGGGAGGCAGATTGTGACATCGTCTGAAACGTGCTGGGAAGAAAGAAACAACTATGCAGGGGCCGTTATAATCCCTCGGTTGCTGCTTGAATGTTCCGGTGCGGTGCCACTCCGAAGACCTCGAAGCCCTTATTCCGGTTATAATTTTGTTCGACGGCGATCTATCTTTGTTCTTGCAATGCGACCACATAGGAGTAGTCTACAATTAGCGTACTTTGGCTACCCGACACACATGCTATCCATCAATTTGTGATGATTTGTGCGAGAAGTAATAGTCCATGAATATGGAAGTGCTGCCTATCCGAGTCTAGAGGCTATGTTCTGCTATGTTCTTCATCGTCGTCACCTGATTCATGGACGTCTCCCTGTCCCCTTCTAACCTCTCTCTCATCCCCTCTATTCTCATCCTCGTCACTACACGGGTCCTCCCATCCAACTGTGTGCTCCTCTTCTTTCACTCTTTGGTACTTGGCATTATCTTGTCCAGATACCACCCTCCCTTCGTTCTTATGCACGTTCCGCCTTATCCTCTCCGAGCGCATAGTCTTGCGAATGCCGTCATTATTATTTGCAAACATTTGCATGATGCGGGCGAAGGATCCGAAGCCAACGCCACGACTGTCTCCTCCACCTTGCCCGAGAGCTCTCACATCGTCCTTAACACTTTCAACCTAGTACAGCCAGTATTTGCCACACAGAATAAAGAAGAGACACAGACCATTCACACATTCGCCTTCCTTCTGCTCTCGAAAAAGTGGCTATGCCTGCCTTTCCAGTTAAAGCTAATCTCGGACATATTCGTCCCCAGTGGGCCGAGGGTGAATTAGAAATCTAGTAACACGGTGACACTTCTCGTCCTGCTCCTGGCTTGAATCTTTACCCTCAGACATACAAGTGAGGGTTGATTCTTGGGCATTTGGCTCAATCGACGAGCGAGCTTCTTCCAACAGTCTTCATGGCATCCATCATCTTTGAATATCGCGCGAGACGGATCGGCAGGGTCGAGATGAGAAATTTGAATTTGGAGACAAGGAAGACTGTTGTATTCAAAAAACTGCCAGATTCCTAGAACGAGGGTTGTCTTTTTCATGCAAACGTATTGTATGGAGACCGCATGCATGCAAATGTCTTGTTTATATGCTTGGTGATAAAGACATGTTCGGCTGGGTCTTTGAAGCTGCGTGAAATATGACGGCAGATAATCCAGAAGAAAGGGTGTTCTTTCACACAGGAGGAGAATTACATAGAAAACCTCCAGTGTAATTTCCTGGAGCATCCTAGCTGGTGACAAAGACATGAGAGTCAAGTTGAAGGTAGTAGCAAGTTGGTCGCCCGTCTGGTCGCTAAAACGTCCATATCTTGGTCTGTGCTCGATGGCAGGAAAATTAGGAAAATGTATATAAGGGTACTATATGACCGTTGAACTTGAAGCTCGAAGCGTTGAGATAAATTATGAATGTAGACAAGTTGTTATGGCACTATAGCCAAGTGGTTAAGGCGACAGATTAGAATTAGCTGAAATAATGGTCTATCTGTTACTCTCTGAGTGCGCAGGTTCAAATCCTGCTGGTGTCGTAAAACTTTTGGACTGAAACCTCCAGGTGGGGTTTGATACCGTTTTGTACCCACCCTATCTGGGGGTTTCGTGCACAACCCTAGTGGCCAGTGACCACCCATTGTGCAGTGTAGACTCTAGAGAAACGGATGAGGCCTCTGGGGAGGCTAATTAATGGCTTACTGCATCAAAATGTCCCTCCCGGGGTCAGGTCAGTTATAAATGGTCAGGGGTATATACCGTACGTTATGAAGATCTTCATTCATTCATTCCTATGAACAAGCTTCCGTCCCGTGTCTTCGTCACGATTGCCAGGCCCTCGTACCTCGGGACCCGGCAACCTGACTATGACACGGGACTTCAGCTTGTTGGGGCCCGCCCCAAACCCGGCTTATTACTTCAATTTTGAGTTGTTAGTTTGACAGAAAAAAAATATATTATTATTTTAATAGAGCTTCAGGATATACAATGTTTAAAGTATTTGTACCTTTTTCAGTATCTGGAAAGAGAACTCAAATTCGTTGTCCAGAAGTGCAGCGGCTAAGTGCTACATACAGTTGTCCATGTGAAAAAACAGGAGTACATAAATCTAATCCAATATAGGTAACTGACTGTCCTTGAGACTTGTTGATTGTCATTGCAAATGCCAGCCTGACTGGAAATTGACGACGTGAAAATGCAATAGGAAGTTCAGCAGTATCTGCATTAATTGTGATGCGTGGGATGAAGACAACCTTGCCAGCATTGTTGCCACTAAGAAGATGACATTCTAATACATGAGGACGAAAACGTGTGAGAATCATTCGTGTCCCATTGCATAGGCCATTTGCTGGATCCAGATTGCGGAGAAGCATGAGAGGACATCCAACTTTGAGAACCAACTTTGCATGTGGCAATCCAGAAGCATTGAAATTTTGAAGAAACTCTGTTGGATAAAGAGGAGCACTATGATCCACTTGATCTTCTATTATCTTGTCTGTACTCCAATAGACTGCCTCTTGTCCTGGAAACATATCCAGAACCTGTTTATTGATTTCATCAACATCATCATTGCATCCAGAGAGAATTGTTCGTTCTAAGAAAAAGCGGTCTTGAAAATGGCCAGCTTGAATGTTTGGATAAATGTAACTGATAAGTCCAGAGAGTGAAGGGTTGGTAAGGCACATAGAATTGGGAAGAGAGATGGTTCTATCCTCTGCAAGTCCTTCACCTGCACCAACAGTAAGCAACCAATTTGCAAATTCCACATTCTCGGGAGTCTGATCCAGACGCATGTTTTTCTTCAAATGAATGACCTGGATGTCAGACCATAATGGAGAATGACGAAATGAAGCTGCAACAATTTGTTCTCGTGATCCTCTTGACACAACAGGCAATGTCTGACAAAAGTCTCCTAAAATAAATGATCAGAAATGTTAATCTACAGAGATACACAATCAATACACATACCACCAAAAAGAACAGTTACTCCACCAAAAGGAGCATCATTTCTCCGTATATCACGAAGAGTGCGATCAACAGTTTCAATATCATGCCGATTTTGCATAGGAACCTCATCCCAGATGATAAGAGAGGTTTTGCAAAGAAGCTCAGCTAAGTGAGTCCCTCTGCGAATGTTGCATGTGGTATCATCACGTGAAGGAATTGGAATTTTAAAAGTAGTGTGGCTTGTACGTCCTCCTACTAAGAGAATTGCTGATATACCGGAGGAAGAACAGGCTAATACAATCAATCCTTGGGCACAGATAGCAGCTGCAATGGTGTTACACACATAAGTCTTTCCACCACCTCCAGCACTATGAAGAAATACTAATTTCCCTTGCTTATGAGCAACAGACTCAATAATTATGTCAAAAGCAATCTTTTGCTCTGTATTGAATGTTTGAAGGCTCTGGGCAACAAATTGCTCAAGAGATGGGATATCATAGGTCAGCTGTGCAGCTAAAAGAGGGTTGCTCTCATAAGCAGCCCAGTTCATAGTAGAGGCTGGCATCTGAGTCCATTCTGAAAGATGATGTCCATGAGATTGAAGAAGCTTATCAATGAGATGGAGACCAAAATCATAGAGCTGGGCATCTGTTGGATTTGGAACATCACGTTGGCGGAGCTTATATGCCAAGTCATCACAAATATTTTTCTTAAACCCCTCCCATAGCTCATCTGGTTTTGCTGGATGACAGAAGAGAAGAAGAGTTGCAAACAGTGATCGCAACTGTGCTCCTGACTTCATGACAGCTGCTTCCTCTAAGCATTGCTTCCATTCATTATCATTTTCCAGCAAACCCATAGCAATGCATGCCTCCTTGAAAGTAGCACACTCTACATTGTTCACAGTTCGTAGATGTTGGAAAGATTGAGCACCGGCAACAGCTGTCAAAAGAAGCCACAGATAGAACTGTTCACCTGATGAAGGGGCAGCTTGATACATTCGACCAATAGTAACACCAATAGTATTAAATCTTTGGCGTACTTTCCAACTCTTTCTATTCCAGGTATAATGAGCTGGAGTATCTTGATATAGATATTGGTGTGCATTTGGATCCTTTTTATTGAGCTCAAACCATTGTAAAAGAGTTGTTGTCTTTTCCTCTGCAGCTGCTAACACCTCCTCTGGACTGGCATTCTCATCATATGTAATAAGCTGTTCATCAGGAAGATGGACATGAAGACGAACAATATTTGGCTCCTCTTGATGTAGCCGAAATGAAAAAATCCTCCAACATGATTCAATGGCAGAGATATAGCGTGCATCCAAAAACTGTTTGATCTCATCATGATCCTGAACCTCTAATGTAGTCCTGTCATGGCCCTTGTAGATGTATTTGTGGATGTATTTAACAGCCTTGATAGTAACACAAACCTCCACATTGATGTGACAGTTATAACGTGCACTGAGATAAGGATTATATGGAATAACATCACGGTTGGTGTAGACAGTGTAGGTTTGACCATTTATCTTAACATACTGACGACCATTGTTAGGACATGCCAGATTGGGATATCCATCAGTGGTGAATTCAGTGTGTTCATTGAATTCTTTTGGAAAGTTCTTTGTACAATGACCATCTTTCATGCAGCGCTGATCACAGGGACCATGCACCATACATCTGGTGACAATCTCATAGAGGATTGGAAATTTTTCAGGATCTGGAATTTGAGCACATGAGACTGAATCGGCATCAGCAGGTGTACGGATCTTATATTCAGGATCCAAAAATATCAGAAGATGCATATGAGGGAGTCCACGCTTCTGAAATTCAATTGTATGCACCATAGCTTTGACTTTACCAAATATTCCACCTTTTTTGATTTCCTTCAGTAAGGCCTCTTTTTTCAATTGAAAGACTCTTGCCACAATGTCTGGTCGATCCTCTGCCTTTTGATCTGGTCCATCTGTGCACTTTAAAGCCTCTACAATCTCTGGCCACTTTGGGTTGGCTGTCATTGTAAGAAAAATATCTGGCTTTTGCAAGGCTCTGCAAATTGCCATGGAGTCCTGATACAGCTGATACATTGCACGGGGGCTTCCAGTATGTGATGATGGTAAGACCAAACACTTGCCACTATTTTCAACTCCATCTTCATTAGCAGCTGCATCAACTACTCCCTTATACAGATCTGCACGAATAGTTGTCTGATTCCTCCGAACCCAGCTGAGATCATTTTGTTCAATTGAGGCCCATGCATCCACAAAATACTGTTGTGTCAGTCTTCCTCCTCTGAACAATGGTACATTTGGTTCAGTGCTTGGACGATGGTGCAGGCGGTAAGCATAATACATATGCTGAGTAAGTCTTTTATGTGTATGGGTGCTGTTTTCACTCTCTTGCAGGACCATATTTGGATTCCAGCCTAATTCTCCATAGGGAAAAAGAAGAACATAATGTAGAGGTTGATAACTTGGATGAAGATTGCTAATGCATTCAAGAGAATTATCATGCATACGTAAAATGATATCTCGATCTTGTTCAACAATTTCAGACCCATCTCCAGGAATGATAGCAGCCAATTCATCTACTGTTGGAAGATTATATCGTCGTCCATCAGTACCATCGCCTACATGCAATCGTACTTCAATATTTGGATACTCTTCATGGGGCTTGTCTTTCATTATCTGATATGCATGGCGGTATAAAGCAACATATGGATTCACATCTTGCAGTAAATCCTGTAGTTGAGACATGATTCCAGACCTTAGATTGGGATTGTGACGATTGCGCATACTCAATGCCTCTGCTGGATCATGTATATACAGTTGAGCATAAGTTGGCTGCTTTCCTTCCTTTGGCAGCAGAGATCCCATCAGATGATGAAGCTCTCCAGATACACGAAAGCAGTATGGTCCAGAAGAATTGGTGATGGCCCCATCAATGTTCACAGCTAAAGAGGTAAATGACAATGCTGCATTGTACTGTCTGACATCATACAAAAAGACTTTTGACAGTGGATCATTGCCCCAGAGAAGATTTTGGAGAATAGTAGGAGCTGGACGAAGAGGAGGTAATTTAATCTGCCCTTGTAGACAGCACATGCCAAAACGGGGCTTAAGCTTGGAAGAATTTTGTATACGCTCATTAATCCAATGTGGTGCTTTACAATGTGTACAGATTGATTTCATCTCTCCAAGATTATGCTGAGAGCATGATTCAGCATATGGACATCTGGCTCTAAGAAGAGTTGCAGAAGCAGAATTATTATCTCGTAACTGTGGTGGTGGTTGTGGTGGTGGTGATGGAGATCTTGATTGTGGAGATGATGGTGGTGGTGGTGACAGTGGTGGTGAAGGTGGCCGTGATGGTACAGAATGAGAATCAGTATCTACATTTGTACTCTGTCTCTGTTCTCTCTGACCATGATGATCAAATGAAACAGAAGCAGGGTTATGGCTATTTAACTGAATAGGAGCACCACCTCGGGCACTACCACGTGGCCGTCCACGTTGTTCACGTCTTGTAGGGAATACAGGTAGAGAGGGAATAGTAGGCATTGGATGCTCTACAGGGCGATCTAACTGAGAAGG